TTGCTGAGTTTACACACCTATAATATTTAAATGATAGAACTTAACAAAAAAAGGGGATACAGATGAATGTCCATTTTGTATCTGTGTATTCAAAGTGGTTAGGATAGATATATAGCTACATTATCTTCATGAATAGAGGGATTTGTTCTAATGGTGTTTGTAAATAGCATATCAAGTCCGCATCTTGTACAACAATTATCCACTAGGAAGAAGGTATGCAATGTGTTAATTATTGAAACTGTCCTACCAACTTGGTTTGAAACTGTCTCATTGCTATTTGTTTCTCAATAAAATAATGGAAAAAAAAGTAAAAGCTAAGCACAGCGTAAAGAGAATAATGGAAATAAAACTGATAAAACTAAAATCAATGAAACAACACAAGAAAAAGAGTAAAGAAGTCACTGAGATCAAAAGCTAGTTCTTTAAGAGCAGCAATAAAATCAAAACCCCTCGTCAGATGGATCTGAAGAGAGCATATTAAAATCACCAATATCTAAAAGGTATAATGAGAATGATGTTAAGAGAAATTTTATTACATCAAGTTTCAAAAATTGAGTAGAATGATAAATTCTCTGGAAGACACCACTTACAAAGACGCATGAATAGCATATCTAATTTAAAAGTTAATTTGTAGTTATAAGCCTTCCTACCTAAAAAATTATAAGTTCTATTGGCTTCATTTGTTAATTTTATCAAAAGCTTGAGGAACATATATTGGTTCTACATAAACTGTACCAGAAAATGGAAGAAGAGAAAATATTTCCAAACTCAGTTTATGATGTCAGCAATTTTGTTCTACATATCAGTTATTTCAGGTTACTCTCACTTGCATATACTGAATGAAGTATTTTAACTTGCATGCTGTGCCTACCCAACAGCTAACATATTTTCACCTACTTATGTTTATCAAAGTGAGCCTTCAAAGTATTTTCTTCACAATATGGAAAGGCTCCCTGATACAAATTAGGCTTTAGTAGATCTACAAAAAAAATTTACTGACATTCAAAATTCTTTCCTTAACCATATGAGCAAATATATATATATATATATATATATATATATATGTATGTATTTAATTAAAATAAATATTCTTCAGTTTCACCTTAAGAGGAAGAATGAAACTGTTATTTTCTTTGTCTTTAAACATTACTTATATTTGAAAATTGTTAAGAGAATTGTTAAGAAGAATTGTATTGCTCATTCTTACTGGTTAAGCATCCAAGGCTAATGAAATGCCAGATGATAACCACTTTTTAGAATATGCCAGGTCTGGTGGTGCACATCGGTAATTCAGGAGACTGAGGCAGGAGGACTGCCACAAGTTTAAAGGCAGCCTGAGGGAGCTTGAGACCAGCCTGAACTCCAAAGAGAGGTCTTATCTTAAAAAGACATATATATTCTTTGTATATAACTTTTTGGCAGTGGTGGTGGTGGTGGGCCTCCATATGAAGATAAATCCCTAACCCTGTTTATTCTTCAATTTTGAGACACGGTCTTACTAAGTTGCTAAATTCCCCAGGCTGGGCTTGAACTTTGGATCTTCTTGCCTGACTGTACAGAATGCTGAGATTTACAAACATGTGCTACTGGCTGGGGTCTGACAAAATTTTGATTTAGTAAGTTATTATGTAAATGTTATTACACTCTAAATTTTTTGAAAACTATACATAACACCTTAAATATGTGATCAACGAAAATAGTTCAATTTTTCAACTATCTAAGAAGCTTTTTATTGTACCATAATATATAGGATAATAATGAAGTACCCATCTAAGACATTTTAATATTTTCCATTATTACATTAAATTATATCACACAGGTATAACATATTATGTAAGCATACCGTATCTTGCTTTGGAATTTGAACTAAAACAGAAAGAAGCTGCTCTGTATCGAGGAATCTTGATATAACTGAAATAGACAAAATGTGAGCATTTAAACTTTATGATACAGTTGAAATTATAGTGTATAAAATATTACCTTGAATAATAAAACAGAATAGTTCTACCTGAAGCTAGTACTTATAATGATCTTTCTCCATCTTACACGTAATAAGAATTGAGTTGGGAAAATCTACTGAGGTTATATGCAAATCTCTTCCACATTCTCATGTAACACTTCATTTGGGCTGCCAGAATTCAGGGCGGGGTACCCAGCAGAGTGCAAGAGAGACAGAGCTGCTAACTAGGAACCGGCAAACTAGAAGCAGTGTGTATAAACTGTCTTTCCACTTACAGATTTAAGAAGAAAAGTGAACCATCATACCAGTGAGCAGATAGCTGCAATCTAAAGACAATTTTTATATTCCACGTTATGAGTAGAACTATGCCCGCCAAAAAGAAATGCTGAAGTTCTAACTCCTTGTACCTACGAATGTGATTTAACTGAAATCTGGATTTCTACCGATATGATCAAGTTAAAAGAGGTCATGGGGTGTGTTTTTGTCCAATGTGGTCAATTTCCTCTTAAGAAGGCAGTGTGAATATATTCAGTACAGGAGAACACCATGTGACAACAGTGGCTGAAAGTGGCGTGCTAGAGCTGCATGCCAGCGTGCAGCCTGGCAGCCACCAACAGAAGTTAGCAAGAGGCAACGGAGTCTCCCTAATAAGCTCCCAACGGATGACGGCCCTACCAACACCACGCTTTCAGACTTGTGAGCTGAACATTTTTTTTTTGAAGTTTCTTTTTTTTTTTTTTTTTCAATACCAGGGATTGAACTCAGGACCCTGCACTTGCCAGCCTAGCTCTCACTGTACTGAGCTATCTCCCTGGCAACATTTTGTTTTAAACCACAGAATATGTCATAGTTTCACATATGCTCTAATAAACTAATAAACCCCATCTGTTGATAATTACATATCTGGACAAAACATTCCTTCTTTTGAGTATGACCATGAAGAAAAAGAATTTTAAAATGTCTATTAAAATAGTAATCTATAGAAAAGAGAAAAAATAGCATCCAGGAAATCAAAATATAAAACATGCTTCTGAAATTGTTTACCTCAAAATTCAGAGAAAATGTTCAGAAAATAGCTTTCAATAAAAATTATGTACTTTTATTACATGCCTTTCAGAGGCAAAACAATGACTGAGCTACACCAGGTGCATTTTGTAATGATCTGTATTTACAAACTTAGGTAATATGAATTTACCTGACTGAAGGCCGAAAAAGAGCTCCTCATCTTGAAGTAGTTCTTGAACACAATCTAACCTCATGTTAATGGTTTCAATATCAACTAGAGGCTCTAATATGTTAGAACGAAGTCTTCTGCTCCCTCCAGGCGTCTTAGTATAATTTAGAACACCAAAGAGAGTGTGATTACTCCTTTGAAAACGTAAGTTGAGAAATTTCATTAAGTATACAAAAAGAACACGACAATTGCATTTTAACTTTGTAATTAAATAATGCTATAATTACATTAGTAATTCACAATCCTCACTTTGCATGCAAATTACAAGGAGAGTGTAATTCATATTATAATTCAGTAGGTCTTGGATAACACCTGACAATCTATATTTGGACACTCCCTAGTGTCAGTCTATGAAGCACACTGTGACTAACAATGATTGAGAGTATCTCCTTGAACTTACTAACTTTTCCCCATATATGTTATGCTATTCAGACTGATAAAGTTTTCTAGTTCATAGCATTTAACCAATAATGGCAAAAAGTCAATAATATATACACAAAGAGGACGTAGACATTGAGAAAGTGAGTATTTGATATAGTAATTTCTTTTTAAAAATATATTTTATATTTATTTTATTTTTTATGTATTTAGTACAGGGTCTACAGGGTCTCACTGCACAGATTATACTTATAATGATCCTTCCTGCTTCTCAGCCTCCCAAACACTGATTACAGGCACGCGCCACCATACCAAGACTCAGGCACCATCTCACAGAGCAACCTGGGAGCAGGGCTGGCACTGAACGCCAGGGATCAAACCCTGGCCCCTGAATCTGCCTAAGTAGGTGCTTTAGTCTGCTGAGCTATCTGGCCAGCCCTATAATTCTTTCCTAACTAAAGAAATTATAGAAGAATTATAAGTAAAAGACAGTTTCCTTATTTCTAAATGATGCTTATAAAGAAATGAGCTACTATTAGGAATTTATTTCACTGGACTACTTATGAGACAACTATGATGCAGATGAAATAGCTGGCTCAATAAAACTCTATACTTTCCCTGAGCAAATAAAACAGACAAGATACCTATCTTCATAGCCCTTACATGGCCATGACTGAGGACAAGACCAAGAGTAAAGGGAGAAGCATAATAAACACATAGTCATACAAAGAAAGAAAATAATTTCATAAAAAAATGTGAAGAATAATAAATTTACAGAGAAAGATCTCTTTGCTTGTTTTAGTTAAATCAGAAAAGATTTCCCTTAAATATGTGACAGTTGATTTAAAACTTCAATGTAAAATAAGGAGGTGAGGTAAAGATCATCTTTGCATGATGAGATAGGTGTGATGATGATGGTCATGGGGAAACTAACATATTACATTTAGTATGTGTAGGAGTCAACTTTTTTTCTTTTTCGTACCAGAGATTGGACTCAAGATCTTGCACTTGCTAGGAGGGCGCTTATGCCACCACTGAGTTACCACCCTGGCCCAGGAGTTGACTACTGTTAGCCACAATTTACAGCTGAAGAAACTAAAGCACAAGGAAATTAAATAACTTTGACAGGATTTCCAAGTAATCCAATACCAGAATTACTACTTCTACTATGTGCAACTAAGAGGCAGGGCAAAACTAAAGCCCAGGGTGTGTGTGTGTGTGTGTGTGTGTGTGTGTGTGTGTGTAAGAATGGAGGGAGATGAATGAAGAACTTCACAAGGACTAGGACATAGATATCCTCCTGTAGGTCATAGTGAGGAGTCTGGGTTGCACAAGGTTTTATGCAGTGGAGTTACAAGACCTGATTTCTGGATTAAAATATACATTGGCTGCTGTGCAGAGAATATACTGATTGTAGGAGAGTAAGAAGATGAATTAGGAAGTAGAAGTCCAGACCAAAAATGACAGAGGCTTGAAGTTAAGGTGTTAGCATTAGAAACAGTGAGAAGAGATTCAAAACTGATATAGACTGTGAAGGTTGAGTCAAGACAATTTTGGGATGGACTGAATCTTGAGGTGTAAGAACTCTCAAGTTTTAGTCATCACACTACCAGATTTTGGTCACAGCAACTTATATTTTTAGGAACTAATTAAATCAACTGGCTGGGAGTTCTCATCACATGTACAATTTCTTTTTGTGGGCTTGGTTTCTGCAGGAACAAAAGAAGTGAGTAGCACACACAGGCCTGCCACTTGATATAGGCTTAATAGGTGTTAAGAGATGACAAGATGATAGAAGCATTAGAGCTATTCTGACAGTTCAGTAGGGTTTCCATCTGTCATCCTGAAATTCTTTAAGTCTCTAAAAATGCTTCATAATCCCTCCTTTTCAACTGGCAATGAACACCGGCTGGTCAGATATTCTTTCAGGTCTTTGTATCCCTCATATGTAGGAGGAACTCGAGCAGTGTTTGACAATGATAAACAGTGATAAAGTATGGGACATGACAAGGTAAAACTGAACATAAAACACTTTGTAATAATTACCTAGGCTGATCACTGAATTTCTGTGCTATAGTAACATAAGGATAACACAGAAAAATCACTAATAGGGTAAACTTTAACACATATCCTAATGGGTATGAAACAGTAGATACTGGGGGGGGGGGGTTGAGGGTTTTGTTGTTGTGGTGGTTGTGGTAGTGGCAGTGGTGGTGGTGATGGTGGTCCTGGGTACTGAACCCAGGGCCTTGTGCATGAAAGGCAAGAGCGCTACACTGAGCCACATCTCATCCCAACAGTCGTTTTGATTTTCATTTTTCTAAAGACAAAGAGGTTAATGAGCATCTTTTCATGTTCCTATCGGCCATTTGTTTCCCTTCTTTTAAGAAATTTCTAAGGCCCTTTATCTAGTTTTGAACTCAGTTACTCAATACAAATATCTATTACTTCAGCAACAATGTACAGTGTTTTTAAAAGATTAAAAATATTTATTCAATATTTCTCCATCAAACTATATAAGGGCTGGGAGATAGCTCAGTGGAATAAGTGCTTGCCTGACAAGCACAAGGTCCTGAGTTCAATCTCTGGTACCACAAAAAAAAAAAAAGTTAAATTAAATAACTTCATATTAAAATGACACAAAAATACAGATATATTCTATTGGAATAATATTGAATGATCTTACCTACTATCTTGATTATTAATTAATAATTCAAGGTTTTGGGCTGATGCTGAATCTATCATGGCTGTCTGCTCACTACCCTGGAAACAAATCTTCAGCGATTTTGGTGCATAAACTGAATTTTGAACAAACTCAACATATTTTAACAAAGCTGCAAGAGCTGCAAGGCAGTAATACCTGTAAGGAGAACAAGGAAATAATATCATGTCTTCAGGATTTAAAAAATTGCTATAAAAAGAAATACTTATCACCTTAATATTAGGACCGTCAAAACTATCTGCATAGCACTGCTTAAGTTCAAAGTGAAAATGTAAAGTGAATGTACCTTAGTTTTGAAAACTATGTAAAAAAACCTCTGATCCATAAAACCTACAAAAATAGACAATTTTTAAAGTCTGTCACATGATCTATTAGACTCCCAAACATCACTTGTTAGCAGACAACATTCTACTGTAATCTGTGTCAATTTCTGAAATACTGCCCTAAGCTCTCAGATAATATGAAAGCAACAGGAAGTCCCAATGTATGAGAAGGTACACTGTAATCTTTCTGAAAGCAGTCAGTGTGATTAACTAAGTAAATGAGTGGACCAACCAGGTTCAAAGAAAGTATCTAGTTAACATGCTATAAGAAATCTGTTCTAAAAATGTAACCCCTGACTTAAGATGAATTTTTAGAAGTAAAAGTATAAAGTAACAGAAACACAATTTTTAAACTGTATTTCACTCATGAGAACTCACACTTCCTGTATTAAGCAGCTAGTTGAGCTTTTCACTCAAAGGTACTATAAATGGAACGATTAGGGCAACAGATTATGGCCAATTTGGACAAATCCTACATATATTAAAATACTAACATAGGCTTTATGTTTAATTCACTGAATTACGTTAGTATTGTAATAATTACTGAGTGTATATTATGAGCCAATTACTTTCTAGGTGGTAGAAATACAGGCACAAAAGTCCCTGCCCTTGTGGAAACCCCCCCACCCCCCATGACTTCTTACTTTCCTCAAGCTGGAACTTACTTGGATTGAACTTCCAATAAAACAGTGCTGAATTCTGCTATGCATAGTTGTTCAATGCACTCCAATCCTTTTGTTTCATTGAAGTACTTCCTTTGGATAGTAGTGAAGTTAACATTCTGAAAGAAGTTTTAATTTCAAAATAAATGTCTTAATGGCCATGTGCTAGCTCAAAACTGCTTTCAGCATAGTTTATTTTTTCAATGTTTTCAAAATTGAAATTAAAAGATTAATAAATGTATTATTAATAAAGAGAGTGGCTATCTAATTTGTTAAATGAATTACAGTATAGTCTCTAGCTATTATTAGACATTATTCTCATGAAATTTAACTCAATAGCCGGGGAGATAGCTCAGGGCAAGGTCCTGAGTTCAATCCTCGGTACCGCAAAAAAAAAAAGAAAAAGAAATTTAACTCAATATGTTAGGGCTGGAGTGTAGCACAGAACTAGAGAAACTGCTTAGCTTGGGCAAGACCCTGGGCTCAATCCCCAGCACCAAAAAACAAAGAAATGCAATTCTCTGTCTTCTAGCAACCAAATACTACCACTGTAGCACACAAGTCTTACACTCAGTCTTTCACCTCTAAAAAAGGACAAACCTGTGGGGGACCAGTGGGGGACCTGAGACCTAATGGGCCTCCTCTGCGAGCACTAAGGAGAATGATAACTCATAGGTTCTAGGAAAAAATTAGATGACTGAGCCTAAGTTATCTACCTAAGCCTGTAGCAATAGTTATTGGAAGGCAGGTGAATCTTGTGTTGTTTTGTTTATATCTGTATTTGTGTGAACAAAAGTCAGAGGAGCCAGGTAATATGAATTTACCTGACTGAAGGCCGAAAAAGAGGGCAACAGGGCATCTCTGCCCACTAGAGTCAGGACTGGGTTCCAACGTGTGGTGTCTTGGGTGGGGAGGGCTTCAAGGGGTGGGCTGGTCACGGGTGGCAACAGGGGCAGGAGGGACCTGGGACAGTGGCTTAGCCAGGGCCAGTTAGTCTACTACACAGGCCCTAATACTGTGCTAGCTGAGAATACGAAGGCCAAGTCTACCTAACAAATCTTTGAAATGCTAACTACAAAAAGTGAAGTTATTTAGAACAAAAGGAAAGACACATTAGAACTTCTTAAAGATTAAAAAAAATAATAAAGTGAAAGTCTTACCGATTTTGAACCAATGTAATGAGTAAAAAAAGCTAAAATAATAATGGCCTTTTAGAACTGTTACGACTGAAAAGAAATAAACAGGTAGGAACAGGAGTGCCAAGACATATTTTCTAAAAGTTGTTTCATTCGATCTTTACAATGACCTTCTGATATATGTTTTTTTTTTTAAATGTATTTTGTACAGAGTCTCACTATGCAGCTCAGACTTCTAGTGATCCTCCTGTTTTCAGCCTCCCCAGTACTGGGATTACAGGGAAGCACCACTACACCCAGCCAGCCTCGGTCACCAGCTCAGTGTGCCCGGGGAATGGGGCCAGTGCAGCATGTGGTACATGGGATTGAATCCCAGTCGCCAGGTTTGCATAAGCAGGCGCTTAGTCTGCTGAGCTATTTTGCTGGTCCTGATATAGAAGTCTTATGAACTTCAATTTTCCTGTATGTAAAACTCTGGAGGGTCAAGTCACTCTTTTTATACCAAACTGAAATTTGTTTATATGCCTTCTATCTCATACTGCTTCTGATTTTTTTTTTCTGCTTCTGATTTAATCAAGGTCCTTTTATGGCATGTGTGGTGATAATGTGGATTTTCCTCCTCTGTGTGTATAATTTTACCTCAGGTGCTTCCCTAGCTTTCTCCTCCACCCATTCAAGAACTTGCTCAAACGTAACTTTATGAATGAGGCCATCTCTGATTACCTTACACAAAATAGCAATACTCTATTTGGATACTATTATTGTCCCAGTTTACTTACCAAAACCCCTGAAACTCAAAGGGATTAATTTTCACAGGGTCACGTAGAGACAGGGCTTGAAACTAGGGCAGCCTAACTCCTCTATTCTTCAGCACCATGCTGTACTATACCATCTTACATCTCAAATGTACTGAATATAATTCGGCCTCTGGAGGAGAGATCCACCTCCCATTCCACAAGGCTCTGGGAGGCCTGGCAGGTGCAGTACTCTGTTTCCCAGGCAAAATGTGCATGGTCACGGTTCCTTATGGTTGCTCTGTAGAACCTCTTCGGAAATAATGATTATCCCATGTGGAAAACTAAAGCAGGGCCAGTAAGCGGCCTTCCCAATTCATGTATGGATACTGAGTTCTTTTTATACTGGATTTGCTAAGGTAAGATGATATTGGCCTAAAGCTGTCAGCAATCATATTAAATCTCACCCATAACCTATCTGTAGAAGAAAATAAATGGCACATGAGAGTAGTGACACAGTCACTAGTATTTTGTTTCTCCTTCACCAAATTCTTACTTTGCTCTTTGGAGCCCTAGTCTCAACTACACGCAATCCTGACCTGTAAGACTTACACTAAATACTGATATCTCTAATTGTTCAAAGCCACACCCCTAAGATAACCCTAGCCCCTCTAAAAGTTCTTGCCTAAAGCATTTCAAGATCAAAAAGAAGTTTACTATTTCAGGCCTGAAGAGAGAAGCCCAGTCTCGCATCTACCATGTGAGCAAAGGAGCATACCTCAGTAAACGCAAACAAACCTGATGTGTTTCACAGGCACCAACCAGACTTTACTGCTTCTTCTAAGTTTTTACTTCCTGACTCTGTGCCCCTGCTCACATCTCTCCCTCATTCTTCATTCTCCTGTTAAAATGCCCAGGCACTGTTATACAAAGCGAGGTTGAATTCATTCACACTGAATTATTCTTACTGTTCTGATAGCATGTTATTGACTAAAAATGTTTCCTTACCACTTTGGTATCTAAGTTTATCTTTGAGTAGGGACAGAATCTCTAAACACTGACTTTTCAGTTACATAAACCAATCACTTTTCTTTCTGCTTAAACTAGTTTAATTTGTATTTGTGCTAATTATGACCAGAAAACCTTAGCCTAATCAGAAAATAACAAAAACCAAGTTACAAAGGAATATTGAAATAAAGTTAATTCAAAAGGCAATGAATAAAAAGAACTGATATAATGGACATGGTGGTACATGCCTATAACCTCAACACTTTGGGAGACTGAGGCAGGAGAACCAGAAGTTCTAATCCAGCCTGAAGAATTTAGTAACTTAGTGAGATCCTGTCAAAAAGAGAGAGACAGGGGGAGAGAGAGAGGGAGGGAGGGAAAGAGAGAAAGAACAAAAGATAGTAAAATGACTGGGGACATAGGGACATGGGGATGCGTGGATGTAGCTAGTGTGAATACCCTGGGTTCAGTCTCTAGTTCCACCTCAGCAAGGAGGGATAGGCAGATGAAAGAAACTTGTGTCATAGAGACACGTAGGGTTAGAACAGGGAGTTTTTCTGTCAATGAATCAAAAACAGCTGAGCTACATAAGAATACTAGTATACATAACAAATCTTACAGAACTACAGATACAGGATACATTAAAAATGAAAAAGAAAGGGCTGGGGATATAGCTCAGTGGCACAGTGCCTGCCTAGCAAGCATAAGGTTGTGAGTTTGATTCCTGGTACCATAAAGAAAAACGTTTAAATTAAAAAGGAACTCACTGGACCCTATGTTTCAGCTTGGTTCCAAATGAGTTAAGTAATAAATCTATAAACGTAAGAGAATATTGTATATTATGAAAATTATCTGCACACCTTCGGAATTACAACTGCCTACTTCGTTTTGCACCACAGCCCCCTTGTCAAAAAAAACAGAGATTTGCTGGAGAGAAGAAACCAACTACATCATAGAAACAGTCTTAGAGGCACAAAGCATTTATCGCACAGGCTTCCACAGCACTTAGCTGTCATAGTCCGGAAGATGCAGGCAATAGTAACAGGCTAATTGTGAGGCAGCTACCTTAGCAGGGGGAGCTGCAAGGATTCTGTAACACAGATCAAATCACCTAGAGGAAAAAGCACCTGTTGAGAACTGCCATCCTCTAAGAGGATAAAAACCTCAATTTCAATTAGTCTGGTATCACAGTAACTAGTTTCTAGGATGCTACACCTAGAAAAACCATTTTCTTAAGCATCTGCTCCTTGTATATTCAGAAATCTTACTATTTAAAATATTTTTTCTTATGTTTTTAAGTAGATCTAAGGGGTCAAATTAAATCAGTGGATTTTCTATCATTTCTGATTTAGTAGTTCCTTAGATTAGGATTTATATTTATTGACTACTTTAGGATTCTAAATATGAACTTACTCATATTATTGCTTTTTCAAATAATATTATAAAGTATACTTTAAATAATTCAATCTTAAATATTGAGAGTTAAAATTGTTTACCTTGAAATTTTCTGTAATAAGAGTAAACAACTTGGTTGAATTTCCCACAACACAGGCAGTGTTTGACATTATGATCTCCAAAGGTGACAAAATTTTGAGTTTAGTGATCACCTAAAATTGTTGGAATAATTTGTAAGTGTAAGCTTAAAATAGTCTCTAAAACAAAGAGCTTCATCTTTCTGAAAAATAATGTTTAAAATTAATTCCTAGATAATAAAATTATGATCCTAATTATGTTAGTCAAAATAGATTTCTAATGAGAACATATTATTAAATACACATTCCCATAAAAACAAAAATAAAATATTTTCAAAAGCACAAGTTCGGTGTGCATGTGTACATATTCAAATCTAGGGTTTATTATTTATTGTTAGTTTTTGGAGACACAATCATAGTCCAGGCTGGCCTTGAACTCACTGTGTAGCCGAGGTTGGCCTGAAAACCATGACCTTCTAGCTTCATCTTCCAGAGTTTTGAGACACAGGTATGTGCCCAGCTCTAGCTCTATCTCACTCACAGTGGTTTGCAGTGGCTTTAACTCAAAAATAAATTTAAGCTCATGAAATATACATTCCACAAGGAAGATATTTTAAAAGAGATTCTTCTGCTCAGTATTAAACCCTTCTCTATGAAAAATATGAACATAACACAATAGTGGAACTGTGTCAATACTATCAAAATCAGCTTGGCCATACTGGTACAGGTTAGAAGGTGAAAAGTACATACACACAAATTTAAGACATTTGTCTTATGCTTTTCACAAAATGAGGTGCACTTATTATAGTTACTTCAGACATGGAAGGTCTTAATCAGTTGGTCTGACATTCCTCTATTAAAAAAATAATCCCACAGGACACGATGGCACATGCCTGCATCTCAGCATGCAGGAGACTGAGACAAGAGATCACCTTGAGACTGAGGCATATAGTAAGTTAAAGTCCAGCTTGGACTATATAGAATCTGTCTTATTAAAAACAAACCAAAACAGTTTTCTTATTCTTTTCAAATTATATAAAAAATTGTAAGATACCCAGATGCCCAGATATGAAGTTAGTATGCAGCACTGATATCATTTAGGTCAGTGGTGGTGAGCCTACAGCCCATGTGCTACAGCAGGCTGTTTGTTATCAAAAAACATTAATTGTTAGTGAGAAAAAGGAAGCTTATATCCCAGGGAATACTGGGAATTTGAGAATAAAGAACAAGAAAATACTAAAAATAGAAACAGATCATGTGGGGTGGCGAGATAGCTCAGCAGACTAAGCATCCGCTAAGGCAAGCACAGGGACCTGGGTTCCACCCATGGCACCACATGCTGTGCCAGCCCCGTCCCCAGGCATGCTGAGCCAGCCCCTGGGCATGGTGGCGCACACCTGTAATCCCAGCGCTGGGGAGACTGAAAACAGGAGGATCACTACGAGTCTGAGCTGCACAGTGAGACTCTGTGCCAAATACATTTAAAAAACTTTTTAAAAGAATATAAAATATAAAAAAAGAGTACACTGGAATAACCATGACTAAGCTTTATCCTACCAAAATGTAAATCAATTAGGAAAGCAATAACTTGGAAAGCCCCCTCTTCTGGGGAATATCAATACTTACTTTTGTATATGTGGTGTTGTCTGCAAACTGGGAGAGTATAATTTGTGGGCACTTTAAGTCAATGCTTGCCATTCCTATCTCACCTCTGGCAAGTCCTCTCCCTTCCACCACAGCTACAATAACTGATGGGGAATGGGCAGATACCACAGAAGACGAAGTAGCTGTGAAGAATTTTTAAACAAAAAATTTGTAAGTATTACTAATAATTATTTCTAATTCCTTCACATAAGACCTTAAAGCCCCAAATCTAGTTATTTTACTAATAGTCAAGGACATAATTTTTCTCCCTCATTACAAAATAAATTTTCCTTACCCAAAGCATACAAAAACATTAATTTTAATGTACTTTGTCAAAAATTCACACTTATAGTAACATATATACACTGACTTATTTTTCATTTTACTGGCAGTCATAAAAAGAGTGTTAAAACTTCTGGTCAAAAACACAGATCATGTACTCTAATTAGTCATCTAAAAACTTTTTGAATTTGGGCAGATTATTTCATAATAATTAAGTCACAAACTACACTGTAATAACTTTCTTCCCTAATTCAAGCCCTGAATGAAAGGATCAAATGAGATTATACCTATACAAGTCCACACATGTTATGCAAGCACTGTATAATGATTAAACACTACACAACTATGGGCTCCAGCATGAGATGTTTGGGTAGTAGGGGAATCAATTACAGATCTTTTGCAAATGGGAAGGGGGCCACAAGATGGAGGGGGGGGGAGAGAAAGGAGAGAAAAGGGAACATAATTATAATTAAGATGTGTTGCATATATGTACAACTCCCCCATAGGAATTATTATATACTACAAATACATATTACTAAAATACTTTGAAACGTTATAATAAAGTACCCAACATTTATTAAGTGCTTGTTATGTGTCCAAAACATTATAAATTCTTTACTTGGATTAACTGACTTAAATTGTCACAAGATTCTATTAAACAGGTACTATGATTCAATCCATTTAATTATAAGGAGACTGAGGGATAGCAGGAACTGGTAGAGAGAGAATTTGCCCCGAGACCCCTGCCAGGGGCAGCCAATCATTACCTATATCAGGAGTTCTGAGATCTGTGCCTGACAAACTACAAATGTTTGAGAAAATCCTGTAGCCCATTTGGAGCAACCATTTCTTCATCTGTGAACTAGATTCACGAAACATTTTTTACAAGATTGCTATATAAGAATCAAATGTAATAATATATAGAAATATCTTGTAAAGTACATAAAATTACTTAACTGTAGGGTATTATTTATGAGTGAATAAAAAAGTCAGACTGAAAATACCTAAAATTTTATTTTCAAAAAAGTAAAATTATCCTTTATTCCTATCAAATACTATAATTTAAATCTGTCTTCCCTCCTTTCTCACTCTGACAGGGAGTCTATTTCCCTCTTCTATGTTTTTACTGTGTGCTCACAAAAATAGCTATCATTTACAGTCTCTGAGGCAACAGTCAAGAATTGCTTTAAAAAATCTATTATGTTTAAATCTCAGAAACCTTTCCTCCTGAAAACTATATTATATATGCGCGGTGATTAGGTTAATATTTACTATATAGGAATCAGTGTAAACTCTGCCATACCATACAATCACGGCTCTTTTTTAAAACCATTTCTACCCACAGCTGATCTTGAACTTGTGGGTTCAGGGAATCTTCTTCCCATCTCAGACTTCGAAGTTGTTGGGACCTAAGTGTGCACCATCACACCCAGCTCTAACCTCCCTATTGTTGATCAGAAAAGAAGCACCAGGCTCCAGTGGCTATGCAGTATATTCAAAAGATCTGTAAAACTAAACGAAGAGTTCATGCTGCTATTGCTCTGCGATGAATAATAATCAGCATCTTTGTGCACAAAGAAATTTTCTGGGTTTCTCATTTCTTTAAAATGAATCATTAGAAATTAAATTACTAGAACAAAGAGAAATCACTACTTTTGAAGAATCATATATAATGCCAAATTTCTTTGTGAGCAACCAATTTTGAATTCTATCAGTAAGATATGAGAAAAGCCAATCTTACCGTATCTTCATCACTAATTTCTGAAATTATTTATTAGCTAATTTAGTGGACTACCTCTTAAATCTGTACTTTTAAAAGTTACTATTGAATTGATTATCACTTAATGTTTCCAATGTTTGATGAGAATTTTATAAATAAGCAACAATTTATAATTGCTGCCAATCTTGGTTTTTTGATATCTCAACTTGTATTTTTGTATATATAATCTTCCCTCTATAATTTCCTTCATTGAATTTCTGCTATGAAACTGGTCCTTCATTGAAATATGATACTTATTACTATTTCTCCTAACTTACTGAGTACTTCTGCTTAATTTGATCTTCCATCTGGGCAAAACTTGAACAATCATCTGATTATCCACTATATCTGAGATTGAAAGACATGGCCAGAAGCACAAATTTAGATTCATTCATGGGCAGTTGTTACACAGTTTACTTGGATGGTGGATTTGGGAAGAATAGGATCAGAAAAACTGGTGACAAGGAAATCAGGTGACAGATGTGGATGGATCTCTAAGAATGAGATGCTTTAAAATACTTCAATCCCTGTGAATACTTACTAAAGGTCATCCACAGTAGACAGTTAATAATCTGGGGAACCATACAATGTGCTTTATGGATGCTGGTTAGTGTCTGTTCCCAGTTATCCCCACTGATTATTTAATAGCTCCATTATCAAATGGCCATAGTGACAAGCACTGGAGCCTCAACATGAGCTTCTTACCAAGGTGACCTAGCTAAACCCACTGATGAGCACTTCATTTCCCAATAGCAAAATCCAGCACTAAACTCACTGACATAGCATCATCCCTCATGACAGAACAGCCTGCAACCTGATGACCATTTATTTATGTTGGATTTTTTTTTTCCACCATGGAAAGAGTAGACATTTGTCCTCCCTAGCTAGAATCATACCCTAGACATGGAGTTAATTTCCTTGCCCATTATGTTTCTGCCAGCATCACCAACCGTGAACTCAGAGAACATCTTAACCACCATCATGATACTCTGCCACTAAGGAATTCACTCCATAGCAAAAGAAGCAGTACATATTGGGCTTGCACCCGTAGGATCAGCTAGGCTACCATACAGCCAAACATCCATAGCATCTGCCTTAGTTGAAAAACAGAATGACTCATAGAGGACTCATGGAAGACTACACTCTGAAAGGATGGGGTTCTGTCTTCAGGACAAAGCTTATCCTTTGAACAAGGAATCATGATGCAATCTCCCCCACAGCCAGAATATCAGAATACGGGAATCCAGTAGGAGTGGCTCCTCTCTCTATTATATGTACTAACCCACTTGAAAATCTTGCAGTCCATTCTAGAAATGGTGAAATCTGATGTGGAAATCTTAGTTTCTGCAAGGTCAGTGATTTCACCAGAGGCGCAGTAATGATTCTACTGAATTGAAAGGTGACATTCCACCTAGCTATCTTGGCTACTTTCTTCTGTTACTGGACTAGGATGCCAAAAATGAAAGGTTAACTCACAGAGTGCTCAGTCCTGATTACCAAAGGGAAAGCATGTTACTATAAGAAATGGAAGTAAAGACTATGACTGGAACCAAGGGGGATTCTTTGGACTTCTCAGTGTCCAAATGGTGAAGGTTAATGGAAAACTATAACTACAGGCAGCGCTACTAAGGACTCAGGCCCTTCAGGAATGAAGGTTACTACCTTTAGGTTACTACCTCATTATTGCTGAAGATAAGAGAAATATGGAGTGGGTAGAGAAAGAAGTCATAAATATCAACTACAATCCCATGAGCATAAACCAAAGTTATGTGGTTTTGAGTATTTTTTCTATGCCTTTTACCATACTTCTCCAAAACTAAGATTGGGTCTTATATTAATTTTTGCTCTAAAAAAAAGTGCACTAGAACTTATTTTTAGAGAATGCCTTATTTTTATCGTGCATAAAAATTTATTTTTGTTCATGTACAAAAATCTACATTTATTCAAACACAGTTCATGTCATCTCTTTCTGGAACATCATGATAACTCTCCAAATCCTGAATTCCAACCTAAATTTTTGTAACTCCATTTTCTCCACTGGTCCCAATCTCTCATGGCCAGCCTTGGCACTCCCTAAATGAACACTTCTTGTCCATGCAGCCTGCGTATGGTGCACTGACAGCACAGTTGTCAGTGACTTTATTTCATGAATTATTCACCCAAGTCACAATCTCTTGTAGGTTGGGCTTCACAAAGTTGCCATTAAATCAAGTGTTAACTGAAGACTTAGGAGAGGAGTGGCAACAAAAATGATCACAATTAAGAATGATGCTCTATACAAAAATGACATAAAATTTCAGGCACCAAAATTCTGAAAAGTTTATTTCATAGGAGTCCATTAAGTATGTCCATGAAAACACATGATGCACTGAATCATAAAGATTCATTTAGACATAACTACATTGCTCTGCCATCAAGTATGCACATTATTCATTCCTTGGGTTTGTGCTCAATTCATTCAAAGGTAAGTCTCAAGTTCATCTGTTCACACAGGCATTTACCTTTGATCCAAAGGTGCCCACATGGATGTTTATAAATAATTATAATGTATATTATCATTTAATTGATATTGTCAATAGTATTGAATTATGTGTCTACAATATTATATAATTCAATACATCCATCATGTATTGCAACAGATGTACTAAAGGCATCTGGCTGACAATCTTAACTGGGGCTTAATTTTAGGGTAGGCGTTATAATGCGAGCATCCTGAAAAAAAAAAATCACACTAGGGCTTATTTTCTGGTTAGGCATTATTTTGGAGGAAATATGGCAAATGCACACATTTATTTCTACAAAATAACTATGGCAACAGCTGAGATCCTTAGGATGAGATAAGGGACCAGGCCCTTTAAGGAGAAGAGACATGGCCTCTGTCGCAGCAGCCAACCCAGCTGACAGCTTGTGGTTTCACACCTAGGTCTGTGGAAGCTCTCACTCCCTTCTTCAAGTTTCCTTTGAAGTAGGTCACTTCCTCAAAGTGAGTTGCTAAGCTAGATTAAGTCATGGTCACCTCCTGTCTCAGCCTGGGCCCTTCCACTAATACTTTTATTTTTACTGTGCTTTCTTGGCCCCCGCATGCTTAACTGCCTTGTTTCATTTCAAGTGCATCAATGCTATTAAAATGCAGCTGGGCCCACATTTGGAATCTGCCGTGGAGCTACCAGGCTCCTCCATGACAGTCACCTAGACTGTCGCTCAACTGATGTCACCTGCCCCCTCCAGTAACCCCTAACCACCTGGAAACAACCACAGCAGTCACTGTCTTGTCCCCCCCCCCAAGGCAACAGGATGACTGAGTCAGAGGGGTGAAAGTACACGGGTGTATAGGCATGACCTGAGTAGCTGAAACGACTACATGAGGATTGTACACAATATACTTGAGGCTGTTAGCTCTTGTGAAATTATTACACCTACTATCTGCCCCTAGCTCCCATGACCCTTCTCTCACTCCAGAAATGAAGGCTAAGACCCTGACTAACCTGGATTTCACTAATTAATGAGTTATTTTTAGAAACCATCTTACCCTATAATTATGTGCCTTTCCAAAGGACCATGAATACCTCAATTGAGAGCTGCCTATCTTGTAGCACAAGGTAGCTTTTCCCTGCATTTACAATATCCAAAGTAAACCTTTGCTTTCCATTACTTTCATTTCCGATTTCCTCATTCTGTGCCGAACCCTGACTTTCCCATATTCCATGGTGGCTTTAACACAGCCTTGCTCCACTTTCTTGTTCTTCACTTACTGGATGCCCTAGAGACAAGCCAGAGAAGGCCAGAGGGTCATATGAAGACCCTAGCCTTTGAGATCCCTGCCAGACACTGTATAACCACTTCATGGAGACTGATTTTACAGTTTAGACTCAGGTAACAGAATATTCAATGGCATCATGACAAAATTTTTGATAATTAATATAAAATCACTATAGTAGTTACTGTTGTGACTCAATCTCACTTGGGGAAAAGTGAGAACTTTACTTTGAAGGATAGATATGATTCATTAGGTAGAAATATAAAATTGTTTTACTGTAGGAAAGGAATCCTTTGTCAACTTTCCTGCTTGATATCTAGGAGTAGGCTTTGAGACTGACATGAATGCTGATTAAACTCTGAAGTTCAGTAGAACTACTATCTGCTTATAGTTGTGATATGTTGGGTGTTTGTCTTTCTCTGGGTAGGAGATGATATATATGGAAGTTAAGTATACTAAAGAGAAGTTATCAATTTATTATCACTGAGTTCCAAATTCATCCTCTCTTTTGTTTTTGGTACCAGGAATCGAACTCACGATCTCCTACTAGCCAGGCAGGCACTGTGCCACTGAGCTAAATCCCTGGCCCCCAAATTCATCCTTTAATACAAGGACTGCAATACATAATAGAATTCCTGTAAGCATTTCCTCTTTAAGGTGCCTACAGTATATTTTCAAACCATAGGGCAGTAGGTGAAACTTCCAGAAGTACAGATGCTTTGCTGACAGTTTTTATTGTAGCATGGTGAGTCATCAGTGTATGAGGGGACAGTGAATCCCGTGGTAATCTGATTCTACCACAAACCCAGAGTACACTATTCCTTAAATAGAGAAGTCTGTCATATTCAGGGATTAAAACAACAACAACAACAATACTGCATTTATTGTTCTTTGCAAGTGCATTTATTACCTCAGTACAAGTACAATTTCAATCAAAACCCCAATGTACTTTCTTGTGGTCTAAAATTTATATGGAAGAGCAAAAAGGCAAGACATGACTCTTGTGAACAAAGAGGAAGGAACATGACCACCTCCGCAAGCACACGAAGCACGCACTAACTGTTGTGCTGCGGGAGCATAAACAGTGTTTTGTCTCAAAGCCCACTCCCAGGTCTCATCAGGAGAAAAACATAATCACCACAGCAAGCAGCAACTACAAGCAAGCAGCAGCTCTGTTACACTCTGGAGTTTCATCAGCACTCACCTTGGAGCCTACTTCCAGACTCCAAGCAGGTCAGCAAATATCACCGATGGCATTTCGACCGCACATAGCAGTTGATCCATCCATCCTGAGCTACATAACCATGGGCCCACACCTCCAACCCTTTCCAGCCACTGAGCTAAATTTGCAGTTCCTATGGCTTAGGAATATACCTGGTGGCCCAGCCAGAGAAGAGGTGACTGTACTACCCATTCAGCAGCTCAGGCTAAGTTTGTCTAAATTTCTTTCTTCTTCTTTTTTTTTTTTTTTCCTTTTGCGTAACCGGGGATTGAACTCAGGCCCTTGCACTTTCCAGGCAAGCGCTTATTCTACTGAGTTGTCTCTCCAACCCCTCTGAGTTTCTTTGTATGTACCCTAGAAAACAGTTATGCATGAAAACCTATTTCACTCATTTATCTCTTAAAATCTGGTAGATGGAACTGAAACAGCACAATCATGAGTTAAATGCCAACCTAGACTACATAGCGAGTAAGAGGTTGGCTTGGACTACCCAGTAAGACCCTGTCTCAAAACAAACTAAACTAAGTAAATACAGAAACTCTAGTAGATTTAAATAAAACTTAAATTTGGCTAGAAAAACAAACAAACAGAATACTACTCTGGCATGCAGTGACATACATCTGTAATCTCAGCTACCTGGAAGCTGAGGCAGGAGTGTAAGGCCAGCCTAGGTTATATACCAATACTTGTCTCACAACCAACAAACATTTGATAACGTTATGAATATTAGCTTTTAGATTAAAATAAATGTCATATAAAAGAGATCTGTTTCCTATGTTTTCTTGTCAATATGGTTAAAATACTGTTGGTACGAATTTAGTAACAAACAATACCAGAACTGTGAATAGCTTTATTAATAGTGTAATTATAGATATGGGCCAACTGATAGATATTTATCTTTCAATCATCCACATGAGTGTCAGATAACTTCAAATGAACAGTCCTAATTTACAATTTATAAAACTTTTAAAGTTTAAAAAAAATCTCTAAAATAAATCTACTTATTTTTACCTGAATGCCCCATTTGTGGTGTCCAACTTTTGTAACCTGATCTCTGAGGATTTCCAGCAGGTAATGGAGTTTTAATTACTTGGGGACAATGAGTTTCTCGTGCAGAAGATGAGCTGGTACCAAAAGTAAAATTTGATGTAACCAGATTTCCTGCATAAGATCTTTGGTTTCCAAAGTGGGACTCTAAATTTGAACAATTAAGTATTACTTATTAAAGATTAGAATTACACAATGACATATTAATTCCAATACATATACCATGTCTATTTGCTATATTTGATAAATATTTTTTAATAAAACAAGCTTAATGACATAATCTGGTACCAAAATATGGCTAATATGACTTATGCTTTTATAAATTAACCAAGACTACCCTTTCTAAAAATCATAAGTTGCCTTCTAATCTGCACTAGACAATAGACTATACTAGACGTATTCAATTTGTATAGTATTAGCTCTCTTTTCTTCCACTGACTTCCTCATTGAAACTTCTGCCATGCAAATTGTATTTTAAACAGAGTTAAAGAGTTTGTTTGTTTTTTTTAAATATGCAAGTTTGATTTATTTCACTTATAAGTATGGTCTCTAGTTGCATGCATTTATCTATTAAAAGTCTCGAGTTTGTCCCTCTTTATGGCTGAGTAGTACTCCATAAACAGAATTTCAAACTCTACTTGCCCTCAGTTCTTTTCAGGTACTTACCTGTTGACACAAATTATCTACCTTATAATATGTTTATAATATAATATATTCTCTTTTTTTGGTACCAGAAATTGAACTCAGGACCTTGTGCTTACCCGTAGACTCTAAGCTATATCCCCAGTCCCTATCTTAAAATATTTCTAAAAGTCTAAAACAATGTACATAAAAAGCCAAACAGTGTTCTAGCGCAAAAAGAAGTCCTGGGGGGGAAAAATGGGTGCTGTTTTCTCCTGTTTCCTTTAGACAACTGAATACCTTAATTCTCCTTAAACTATTTAAAGGTTTCCTCTGTGGGGTCCAATTTTGGTCTTTATTATTGGCTTGCAGGGTTCTATAATTTCAAACTTTCTTTCACAAGTCAACATTATACATTTTCTCTGAGCATATCTGTTCTCTTGGTTTCTATCAACATCTTATTTCTTTCAGATATTTTTCAAATTCCTCCCCCCGGGGGCGTGGCTGGCATGGCATGCAGTGCCGGGGATGAAACCGAGATCCCAGCACCTGCCTAAGCTTGCCAAGAAGGCGGTTTAGACTGCCCAGCTATCTCGCTGGCTTTAACATCTATTTCTTAACAACTCACAAATCTTCACATACAACCCTTACGCCAGGGTAAGGACCAGATGGCAAATATAGTGGTGCCTTGACTCACAAACATATTTTATTGTACACTTTGGAAGATACATTTGTGTCTGTATGGGAAATACAGCCAGTCATATTCATCACTTGACATAGTTTGCAAGCAAAAACAAAATTCTGCCAAAGGCTTCTGTAGGCAAACCAAAAGAAGCATTTATGAACTGAGGTACCACTGTATTTTAGAGTCTGTGTACCATGGCATTATTGTCAAAATTATCCAATTCTGACAATACCACTGGAAAATAATCATTGAAGATAATACACAAATAAATGAGCATGGCTGTGTTTCAATAAAACTTCACAGGATACTTAAATCTGAATTTTATATAATTTTTCACACATTATTCTTTTGATTTTTCAAATCTTTAAAAGCTCAAAACCATTCTTAGCACTATACCTATTTTTATAGTAGCCACTAGCCACATGAGCTATCTGACTAAATAACAATGAAATAAAACTGCTAATTCCTCAGATGTACTAGATACATCTCAAATTATCAAGTTACTTTTTGCTATGGTTGCCATATTAGAGGACAGATGTGGAACATTTCTATCCTCACAGATAAAGTTCTCTCAAACAGTACATTCTAGATCACTGTATCTATTTATTGAACATAATCCTTTAAATATCTTCCTAGTACTTCTAAATATCTAGAAGTGAACTTGCTATCACTCACCCAAAACTTAACTTTTATCACCAGTCAACTGACCCATCTGATACCCTGCCACCCAAGCCATAAACTTAAGTCAAAAGCCTGTGTGTCTGTAATGACCCATGGAGAAGAGGCAGAACTATGTGTTGTATATTGTTACTCTCCTTTTATGGCTAAATCAACACCTGTTCACATACACACAGAATGCACAGCTCAGATCTCACCTATACTCCTAGATTCCTATTTCAGCTTTGCCTTTCCATTTCCTATTACCCTCTCTCCCTCCTCCCTCCATTCCTCCCTTTCTCTCCCTCCCTCCTGTTCTCTCCCAAGCTCACTTTGTAATCAAGGCTGGCCCTGAACTCACAATGATCCTCCTGCCTCAGCCTCCCAAGTGCTGGGATTACAAGCTTGCACCACCACACCCTGCTCCCAATGCATTCTTAATGTCTCCATGGATAAATGGACAGATACCGCCCTCATTATACTCAAATTCATCTCTCTGCTTAACTCACTTGTCTAATCTTCAATATAGTTTATTTATTTATATTTATTTGAGACAGGGTATCTCTATGTAGCCCAAGCTGGCCTTCAAGTGACAAGTCCTCCTGCTTCAGCCTCCTGGGAGCAGGGATGAAAGGTGTACATTCCCTGCTTTTAAATTGAACTCAAGCTGAAAGTTGAGGGGATTGAACCCCTGATACTGAATGAACTCCCATCTCCAACCCCTTTTGGAGAATGGGTCTCGCTAAGACAGGCTGGGCTCAAGCCTGTGCTCCTGTCTCTCGGAGTGCTGGGAATACAGGTTTGCAACACTACGCCAACAGTTCACCTGGATTAGGCGCAATGTTCAGCTTGATCTACTTGCGCCGGGCCTAGGACTTGGGGAGTGTCCACCCAGCGGGCACCGTTCACCCCACTGCTCCTGTCAGGAAGCCCTCACGCAGGCTGCGGCCCTGGGGCGCGGTGGCGCCGTCACGCCCCGCCCAGGCCTCGCGCCCTCCCCGTCCCGCACCGAAGTCATGGCGGGACTGCCGAGGCTACCCACGGCGGCGCAGCAGGTGGCTGAGGGACCCGGCCGGCGGCCAGCCCGTCCCGCCCTTGCCTGGCGCCGGCGGGCGGCCCTCAGAGAGGCGCGGGCCGCCGCTGCTGCTGCTACCGCTGCGGTCCCCCGCGACTCCCGACGAGCCCGGGAGGGAGGACGTGGAGGCCCGCGCGGAGGGGCGGCCGGCAGGAGCCTCCTCTGGCTCCAGGGGGCGCGGACACCGCCCGGCAAGCCCTCCCAGCGAGGAAGACACCGCTGGGGCCGCGGAGGCGCCCACCCTACGCATCTCAGGGGCCTCTCCCTCTCCGTCCGGGCGGCAGGTTCCTCAGCGCCCCTGCTCACAGCGGGAAGCAGCCGGAAGAGGGCGCCGCAGACAGCGAGAACGCGCATGCGCAGCCGGCGGCCCGGGTCCCACGCCGGCCTCCGTCCTCCGCACCCGGGACTGGCTCCTGCAACTGCGAGGCCGGGGGTGCTGGGCGCTGGCCTCCAGCCTGACGCGCGCTGCACTGGGCGCGACTCAAAGCAGTTTTGAAAGCAGTGGGGCGTAAAAGTCGTTTCTTGTTCTACCACTTTTATCTCGATTTTTATCTACTCAGTATTAAGTACAGAAACTTCCTGTGCTTGCCAAAGTTGTGACAAAATGTTATCACAAAGTTGCACCCATATAGCTGTCACGGCATGGTAGGGACCAGACACGGACAGGGTGAGGCACGCAGCAGAGATCAAGTACAGCTCCAGCATTTCAATTTCTAGTAATTAACTTAGCAAATATAGGTAATACTACAAAAGCACCGATTTCCTAGGGAGGCCCCATTGTGCCAACTATTGCATTATTGGGAGGCGCTATTTACCTACACTGTCACCATCCCAGAGTAGAATACCTATAGTCCCATATTTCAGTCACCTATTTGCCCACTTTTAATTCATGAGATTTATCCACCTTTGACAGTAACATGGTTGCTAAAAATCAATTTACATTAACTTGCACACAACACATGGGGGGAAAAGGCAGAACATTCAAGTTCTCAAATTTACTAATTAGACATAACATACGTGTACATACCAAAAAAAAAACCACTCAAAACAGCACTTGAGAAAATCTAAAGCTGAAAACACAGTACAGTTCTTTTATTTTACAGCATGTATAATTTATTAGAATTAAATTAACACAATGTACAAAATATTAACAGTAAACATTTTTTAGGTTCAATATGCCCTTCAAATACAGAAATGTTGAGATGGTGCTAACTACTACACATTGTTTACTCTGAATCAACAAGCCTAGCTCAGGAGTTCAGGGTGAACATCTACTCTCTGAAGCACTTCTTCAGGCATGCAAAAAACAGGACTAACAGGTTTAATTTGTTCTTCTCCCAGAAGTGATAATCCAGCAATACCAAATAATGTATGAAAAGGGTCCACCTATTTAAGAAAAACACAAGGATTTATACTAGAAAAGACAACCATAAAAACTCACAAGCCAATTGTTATATGTATTATCCACTTAAACGACTTCAAATGTCTCTCATAATAGGTGACAAGAAATGCTATTTTAGTGTACTCGTTATGGTAAATACTGCTTTCAAGGCAACGCTTGCACTGCTCATTCACTAGGTACACACCACATCTACTTCCGGAAATCACTAGAAGCCTGAAGGTAACCCACAACTAAAGAAAACAACTTAGTCAAACTTGTCAGGAATCTACTTACCATATCTCCAGGCCTGTCTGCAAAACCCCCAGTTTCTTCATCTTGACATGCTAATATAAAGCTGCGCAGCTTCTCTCTGTCAATCCAATGCAACCTTCCAATTATCTTTAAGGATGCCAAAACCCACCATGAATAGCACACATCTGGCAACTGAAAGGGAAAAAATTTACCATTGTTGCCACAATGAGAATTCAATCCAACCTAATGTCCAAACAGCAGGGGGAAAGAGGCTGTCAGGCAGCACCTGATGCTTGCTCAGAACTGACCATTAGGGAAAAGAATGCCCGCCTCCAGGTCACACTCTTTAAGTACTTGGTACCCAACATCCCCCATTAATGTCTTGCTCTGCTCCTTAAATGGACGTTAGTAGTAGCAATGCACCATCCCAGAGGGGTGTGTTGTCTCCTATGAACAGCAACAATTACTACTCAGGTGCATACGATGCCTACTTGACATCCACCAAGAAACTAGTCTTCACAATGCACTAGGCTGTTTGGACTCAGTGATCCTGTCTCAGCCTCCGAAGTGTTGAGATTATCGGTGTGAGTTACCAGGCCTAGTTCCCGGGTTGGCACAGTATGCGGTACCAGGATTGAATTCAGGACCTTGTGCTTGGTCAGCCAGATGCTCAGACCACTGAGCTATATCCCCAGGCCCCTAACACTCTTACATTGAGTTCTGAAAAATCCCCTAATCCATGAGTAATTCTGACAGTTCCCCAGGATTAAGCAAAAATTGGATCTTACCTGGATACCACCCATATGTACTTCCCTTCCCTACTCATTAAGGGGCTCAAAATACATACTGAGAAAATGTCTACAATTTGGCAAAATCTATTGTTTTCAGAGTACAATGGACATGAATGTTTACATAGAGCATGATAAAGCCAATGGCCTCAAATTTCAAGCCTTTAATTAATGCATGACTAAAAGGTTTGGAAAAAAGCTTCATTTTTTTTTTTTTTTTTCTCTTTAGGGAAGGGTCTACAGGGTGTTCAGGGTCTCACTACATCGGAGTGATCCACCTGTTTACAGCCTCCCAAGAGCCAGGATTACAGGAGCGTACCACGCTCAGTCCCGTCTCAATTGCAGTCTCAGGATGCCTGGGGGATAGGGGTGGCATGGCAGCCCAGGAGCGAACCCCTAGCCCCTGCTTGCAGGTGCTTTAATCTGCTGAGCTATTTGGTCAGCCCTAAAGCTTCATTCCGATGTCTGAAAAATACAAGGCCAATCTACTGGGCAACTTCAGGAGACCCCAGCTCAAAAAATAGCCCTGGGAAAGAGGATACAGCTATGTGATAGAGCAGCCTGGTCGTACACATCTGGCAAGGACCCCAGGTCCACAACCACTTCAGCCAGGCAGGTTCTACTTCCAAGAGCAGGGTTTTGGAACTCTCCCTTCAGAGGAAGGGAAAAAAACCCCTCAATTTACCCGAGAGCAGTAAGGAAATGTGGAAGGCAGTAATCACCAAAGGTTAGAAAGCCAAGTATTAGAGAACACAGCTTATGAACAGTACCTTCTCTGGTCTTCCATTGAGTCCACCTGAAGGTAACTGTCGCTCACAAAGCCACCAACCAAGTAAATCAGAATTTACTTGATGTAACTGACTAG